GATCTCTTTCTCAACAATGCTTCATTTATTTTTCAGCAGGATTCTGCTCCTTGCCACACGGCCAAAATATCGAAAGAGTGGTTATGTACAAAGAGCATGAAATTGTTGTCATGGCCAGGAAACAGTCCTGACCTCAATCCTATCGAAAATTTGTGGCACCGTTTGAAAACTCTTGTCCGAATGAGGCACCCATCAAATAAAAGGGAACTAATTGAGGCTATAATTGTTTCCTGGTATCATGTAATAACGAAAGAAGAGCTTAAAACTCTTGCCAGCTCAATGAATCAGTTGAATGCCAGTTTTAATACAAGTATCCAAGCATATGTTAATCGATGCATTTTCTCTAAAGCAGCGGAAAGGAATCTTAGCTAATTTGATAAAAAAATCACTCTTACAGCACATCTGCTTTTTTTTACTACTATGCTAGAAGAATCAAGTGGCTCAATAGAGGCAAGGCTAGATTAAAACATTTAGCAGCAGTTGCTGAATAAACAACTCTAGTAAAAATTAGTCAAATGTATCATGTTTTACAGCACACTTTTTCATGATATGAAGCAATTCGGATGGTTTTCTGTTTTCAAGTTGCTTCCCGGCGAGTTATTTCCGGATTTCCTTCCGGATTACTGCTTTCTCCACAGTGCTCAGATTTCAGGTCTTCATAAGAAGAATCAGTGCACTCCTGAAGTATAATGTCTCAAACAAAGAAGCAATCACTAGTGGCAAATGAGCAATGCAGTAATTAAATTTCATCTTGAGATCTGTTATAAGCTTTGGTGTGGCTAAAGCAAAATGTTGACTTGCACAATAGCAAACCATAATGCAGAATCAATAGGATTGTAAATCAGTATCTTTACGGCTGTTGTTTCCTCCATGGTAGTGGTGATAGGGAAGAAAGTCCTGAAAACGTAGCTTGGAATGAACAATCAATCTGAAACTTTGAAATTGCTGATGGTGTGGATTTGTTGATGCTGAGCTTTGTTGCTACGCAACCAGACCTTGATATGTCACAAAAACTGGTTTGAGGATTTTGCCTAAAAATTCTAACTTTTCAACTTTATTCCAGCTTGGTATAAGAGCCATCCAATTCAAACTGAAGCAAACATAGTCAAAGGTTTTGCTTGGTCAGCTACACATTTACCATGTGTGCCATTTTTCATTCTGCTCCATTCATCGTAAAGCTTTAGTAGCGAAAACAATCCCCAAAAACCTGAAGATCGTTTTGAGTCAAGCTGTGAAAATTGTTATTTTTATTAAAAGCGGAGCTTTAAATTCGAGAAGAATACTTACGATTTTTTTCCCAAGAGATGGGCAATGAAGATGAAACGCTTTTGTTACATTCTGAAGTAAGGTGGTTATTGAGAGGCAAAGTTTTAAATCATCCTTTTGAACTTCAGTTAGAAATTCAAATTTTCCACTGTGGTTCAAAATTTGAACTGCAAAAATGTTTATTCGGTGAATTATGGTTGGCGCGTTTAGCATGTTTAGCTGATATTTCTGGAAACTTGAATGAACTAAATTTAGGATTACAGGAACAAAGTGTTAATTTGTTTACCATTAGAGATAAAATAAATGCAATGATGAAGAAAAAAAGTCCTAATAAACAAAGAATTGAATAATAATATTTTAAGCTTTTTACCACTTTTAGAAGGTTTTTCTAACTGAAAATAGCTTGAAAATAAAAGATTTAGCATCCAACATAAAAAAACCATTGTTTTTCATTGATAAACAATTTCTACATGTAATTTCCCTAGGATTATACGGGGAAAAAACTGGATTAGAAATCCATTTTATTCAAATGTACCTGAAATTTTATCTCATTAAGAAAAAGAACAATTGATAGAAATTTCCTGAGATCGAACTCTAACTGAAGATTTAAAAAATAACACACTTTTTAACTTTTTGTCTAAACCAAAAACATGAATTTAAAGGTATTTGAAATGAAGCTATTGAAGAATTATTTCCATATTATATTTGAAAAATAAATACAGAACAAAATTAAAAATGGATCCTAATTTACTAAGTAAAATAAGTATATAAAAAGATTAGTTTTAACTAATTAAAATAAGACCAGACATAGAGAAATTGATCTCTCTTAAACTGGCCCTATTTCACACTACATTTTTTGAATTAAAGTATTATAACTTAAACTTTGATATTTAAAATGGTAATCAATTTTTAATCTAATATTTTGCATGTGTGCATATTTAATACAAATACCCCATAGTTGTGCAAATTGCAAAATATATTTTAAATATTTCTATCTAGAAATTGTAAAATGTAGTGGTGGTACTAAAGCTTTTCAGTTTTTGTTTAGATGGTATGTGTTAGTCAAAAGGTTGGAGCTCTGGAATGATAAATGCTGCTGGTGCAGGTGCATATTATAAACTGTTTTCACAGTATGCCCCAATGGGTCAACATTTTTCCAATTTTGATACAGAAGTTCATGCAGTCTTTTTGGCTGTTGACTAATTTGAAATCTAGAATTAAGTTTTTGCAAAGGCTGTCATTCTTGTTAATTCTAAGTCAGCCATAGAGGCAGTAGCTCTTCAATACCACTCAGCCTCCTCTTGTGTCAAAAATAAAATAAGATATCAGGGAACTAAATAGAAATGGTAAAACTAGAATTTCAGTGGAAACCATCCCACGTAGATATTAATGGTAAAGAAAAAGCAGATCTCTTGGCAAAGGAGGGTACAGAGTTATTTATGGAACAGAGTTCCATTCCTTTGGGTTCTCTGGGAAGTATATGAGAGAATTTTATGTTAGCTTATAACACACAACTATCAATCACATCAAAGGGTAAAATCTGGAAGAATATCAGGAATGAGTTCATTCGCAGGCCACGTAGAAAGGCTGTGGCTAATTTCAAATGGGGTACAGGGTACAACTGCTTAGCCAATTATCTCAGCAGAATAGGCGTATTTACAAATAGCCAATGCCCTGTTTGGAAAACAGACACTATGAATAAACAGCACTTGCTCGTCTGTCTTTACCTTGACCTGAAGTTACAACACAGTGGTGATGTTCTCCTGCTGTATTGAATGGCCTTATGCAATGAGCATGTGATTGCTTCACCTCTAATCACTGAAGATTTTTAAGATTTTAATTGTGAAATTTTTATGTCTTAATTTTTTGGTATTATAGAGACTTGAATTTTAGTGCTGTAATTTTTGTTGTGTTTTTAATATTTTGGTGATGGTGTCAGAAACTAATGCTGTATAATTTGTATCGTTATTCTTTTTGAAAAATATACAGTTCTCCTTCTTGCATTAGAAGTTTCGACTGTTAGATCCAGCTGTTTAATAACGAAAACTAGATGTTCATTTGATTTATTATCATCATGTGGCAGGAAAGCAGGTTTTACTCAATCCAGAGGTACAGATTTTTTTTATGATTATAAAATTCATTTGTTAGAGATGTTTATTGGACCTTTTAATTACCTTATATTATCCTGTATACCAGTGGTCTCAAACTCAAATTACATACAAGCTGAAAGCAGCTCATGGGTCGGAATTTTTTTTAACAAAATGATAGTGAATACATATATATTCATACTATATACATAGGAATAGAGCAAAACTTTAGTGACCTTTGCTTCACAGATTTATTTGCTTCTGTAAAAGAATTTTGTTGCCTTTAAAACCCAAATTACAGAAACGTTTTCTTTTCTTAGTTTGCCTTTGGAAATTTCAAATTTTTCTTTATAATTTGTTTTGCAGTGGTAATGTAAATTGTACTCTTGTAGAACTGATATCCTCTTTTAAATAAAATAGGCAGTTTTATTGCATAAATACCATAAAAGTACACATTTTCTCATTTTTCTTGAAAAGCACATCCTACTATGTACAGTTTCCTGACGTCTTTTGTTAAACACGTCTTACAAATTTGTCTCTCAATTAAAATGACCATTATAATTGTATTTATAACTTTTATTTAGTTTTATTCTACTAGATGAATTTTTGAATGAAAGTAGCATTCAAAGTTATGCACAGTTTTAAAGTATAAGTATTGTTATAATGTAAAAAGTTATGTGCAGTTTCTAGAACTGTGCATAACTTTTTACAGTATAGGTATTGTTAAATGTATAGGTATTGTTATAATGTAGGTCAAACAAGTACAAATAAATAGTTTTATGAGCCACGTTCGGTTGTCTCCATCTGCAGTGTAATATGACTTGCACAGCTGAGGAAAATATATATCAGAAGTACCAACTTAACAGAAAAAACTGGAAATGCCAAAATACTGAAACAATTGTGGCTGGCAAACTAAAATTACTGATTATAGCTATGCAGGAAGTTCTCCTACCTTACCATAATCACATCGTCTAACTTATATACATACAAACACAGAACATTAAACGATTCATTCTATATTTTCCCCTTTTAATATCTCGCACATTAGCTCAGTCCTTATCTTTTAAAACTGTAATAGCATTATTTACAATAAATTCATGATTGAAATGTGTTTGGGGGCTGCCAGTTTGACACCACTACTGTTGCAGTTGACATCATCTGATCTCAATAATTGACCTGAAGGTCATCTTACATAATCAGTGCAAAAAATACATATCTGTTGGATTGCAAAGATGGCAAAAGATTGGACATTTTCGCTTTCTGGGTGTGGCAACAGAAATGAATGCCTCAATCTTTCACATATATTGAATTGCGTGATTGATCAAAGCACTAAATATGTCAAGCAGTGCTAATGTTTTGTCTTATACTAATTCAAAACAAGATACTTTTATGTCATTTTTGATAGCTAAATTAATACCCAGCTGTATAACTGGGAGTATTTCTGTCCATCTGGCATGTCATGTGCTTTTAAGAGGCAACAGAGTCTTTCATTTACTCCATTTCAAAGGGTTATGATAAGGTCTATCATAAATAATAATCTAATCTAGCATTCACTGCAGGTTTATTACTAAGGTGTTATAAATAGTATGGTCATATAATTGGTTTTACATTCATGAAAATCTTTAACAACCAATTTCTCTCTTGCAGTTATCACTCATTGAAGAACTAGCATATGATGATAGCAAACGAACACAGCAAAGGAGTTTTGAAAGTAGGAAAAGTGATGTTGGCTTAAAACTTAATTTATCTCCAGCATGTAAGGATGACTTTGTTTCTGAGTTTTGAGAACTTTATTCATATACATATAAAGAGAGAAAAATTGTAATTTATATATCTAAATGCAAAATATTTGTGTATAAACATTCCACAAGGGATAAAGTTTTATTTAGGTTAATTGGTGATGAATTCAGTCAGTATTGCTTTTTGAACTGTGACTGCAAAATTATAAAATAAATTTTTAACAAAATGAAATATGTATATAATATATATGGATATACTTGTTCTCCAGTTCATTGTAATAAATTATTTATAAATAATGAGTAGTTGTATTATTTAAGTCTCTTTAAAAGAAATCATAAAAGGTTTTGTACATAATTATGTATCACTTAAATACAAATAAAATATTCTGTAAAGCTTATAACTGAATTATGTGGAACTGTGACTAAAATTCGGTTATTGTGAGAATATATTATTATTGGAATAATGTGGCTTGTTTAAAATTTACATTAATTGGCATAACAACCTATGTATAAAATCTTCCACAAAGGCTTTCTGTTGGCAACCACTGTTGATTTTCATAGTGTATGCGCACAATGTTCTTGCTGTGTGCACAATCTTTTTCACCAGTCACTGAACACTTCTGAGCGTTAAGCAGAATGGAGTGTATATTCAAATATTTTACAAGTTTTGTGCTCTGCTGTTTTTATGTATTCATCATCACAATAATTGCTTATCCCGTTACTATAAGATGTCATGATTATTTTTTACATTTTCCATATGATAATTATGGATCTAATCTAGATAATCCTATTGTTCTTTGCTTTAATCCATTTACTGCAACTATTACATTAAAAAACATTTCAACAATAGAAAGTTCATGATAAAGTTCTTATTAAGTATGTGAAAAAAAAAGTTTTTACAGTTAGATAAGGTCAAATAGGAGAAAATACACATTAAATATGCCGAGTGCTTTGGCCAATGACACTTTAGTATTCTTTTTGTATTAGTCGATAGATACAATTTACTTCTGATATTCTCCATTGAATGTGTTTTAAATGCATTTTATGTTACCTTTTTAACCATTTAATATTTGATACAAGTGAAATAAAACACTTTTCATGAATCTGAAAGAAAGCCAAAATAATTACTTTGGAACTGTAATACAAAACAGATTTGCTTTTTCTTCTGTAATGTGATAGATCATAAAATAGATAAGTAATGATTCAGTATCCTTATTAAGAATAAATTTGTGATATTTTAATTTTAATAAAAACAAAACTTCAGCTTTTATAAATTTATTTATTTAAAAAACTGAAAAATGTATCACTATTTTGCTTAAAACATTTCAAACCTTAGAAGTTATGTAGGAACTTCTTCAATTAACTCTTTAATAAAATATTTGAAAACAAAACATGCATATGCTTTGTACATAAAAGACGTATCTTAAAATATGGTAGCATAAAATGAAAAAAAAAGTTCTGTGAAATGTTCAGTGACAATACATAAATTGCACGATACACGTATTTAAGTATAGTGAAAAAGTAAAATATGCATTATGTACAAATTTTAACAATGCATTGTTTCTTTGATCATTTTGAGTATTTCATAACAAGGTAAACTCATATTACATAAACTTCACCCAAACATAAAATGAAAAAATCAGACTAGTATTACATTTATCATAAAGTGAGAGTTTTCATTTACATGAAATTTATACTTATTTGCACATTAATTACTCAAAAAGTTACTTCGTAATTGGATAAAAGTGTTAAAAAAATTCTGTTTTTGCACTTTAACAAAATAGAAATTTATGAAGCAGTAACAAGAAAACAATAATAATCACATTTCCACAGAAAATAAAAATATAAATTTCATGTTTTGGTATGAAACATATCATTACAACTGCACATTTCAAGAAACTTGCAAAAGTAATGAATTTTGTAATATCTCGCATTCTTTCCATATTCAAGAAGAAATTTAAAAAAAAAAAAAAAAAAGTGAACAAAAGTTTGACTTCAATTTTATCTTGAAAATTTTTGAAGTTTGGATTATAAAAGTTTTATTTATAGGTCTAACTTAAATGGAATTACTTTGTTATATTGAAATGTACACAATTTAAACTGCCATTAGATACAATAAGACATTCACACATTTTTACATTTTATTTTCAGTGCTTATCTAAAAACACGAAAGTAAATAAAATTCACATGTGATTTTTTTTTTTCCAGTATTATCTATGTTAAATTAATATAAATTAACCATTATTTTAAAAACTTAACTTGAAAGATATTATTATTTATGCTGCTTACTTCATGAAGTATTTGTTATTTGCTAATATACAATATATTTAAATCATTCCCATATCACAATAATTCTAGGTAATACATTCATGCTATCCCTGAATATAAGCTGTAAAATGTTTTTTCTTCTTGCCTTTCTGTAATGCATTGAGCTACAACAGACTGAGGCATAAGACCAAGCTGAGTGATTCCTATGGCATTGGGTTTAATTTTTCAAAGTACTTTTAACTCCTTAACTGCCGCGGGCGTATATATACGCCTTGCTCAGCCGATGCGTTAACTGCCCCAGGCGTATATATACGTCCTTCCAAACTGCTATCATTTGCTTTGCGCTGCTACACCTAAAATTATTCGCAAAGTTAACGCATCGGCTGCGCATCTGGGGCAGTTAACGCATCGGCTGAGCAAGGCGTATATATACGCCCGCGGCAGTTAAGGGGTTAAATATGTTAAAATTAATAATTAATGTACATAGTATTTGTGCGAATAAACTTAGTAATGTTCCATATATTGAAGAAAACAAAATTAAATGAAAATATTAACTTCACTTGAATCTTTATATATAAAAATCTGCAAATGTCTACAGTAGATTAAGACAACTCGAATCAAATTAAATTTAATAAGATCAATAAAATGTAATAAGAAAAAAGTACAATTATGTGAAATAAAATTTATAGAGGTGGGGGGAATTGAATTTGCCTTATTTAAGTTTCATTAATTCAATAAATTTTATATATTGCTAGGAAACCAGGAGATTAGGTGATTTACCAGGAGACGTGATTAAAAAAAACAGATGAGTTGGCAGCTACGATATATGGACAATAAATAATTATCCATAAATTTAGAAGTTCGTTTTAATTACTGAACATAAAGATATAATTATTATTTTAAATATTCTACATTTTCTCAATTTTCAATGCTTTGCACTAGACAACATATTGTACAGAAATTATTTTATTGTATTTTAGATACACAGACATAATTCTAGGAAAGTTACCATAAAATATGTAGATTATTTATTTAATATATATATATATTTAAACTTCATAATAAGTAAAATTGCATAGTTCTTTCTGTTAGGAAAAAATTTGGTATAAAGTTTCAAAAATATACTGCACAATAAACGGGGGAAAATCTTTATTTATTTATTTATAAACTGATAAAATTTCACAACGTAGTGCATTCTCTTAATTACATTGCAACATATATTAAAAAATAAAAATCTGGCTTAAAAGGCACATAGAAATGAAAAATTCATGAATCTTACTTTGGGTATTCTCATTCATATATATATGTTACCGTGAAAGACCGAAATTGGAGAATGTCGACTTTCACCGGAGAATGTTAACATTCACCTAATACATTGGTGAAAGATCGAATATTGCACTACATTCTTGTATATTCGGACCCTCACCAGTGTATGTTGACAATCGCAGATATGCTCTGGTGTAAGTCGAAAAGAGAGGTCATAAAGTGCCATAATAGTTTAAGTTGTTGCAAAATAAGATTTGAATCACATAATTTAGTAAGTTTTTTATTACTGTTATTTTATTTTCTCATTTAGAACGTACTGTATATTAACTTCTATTATTTTCCTTTCTTATTTTGAATGTATTGTGTGTTTTAGGTTCTCATGTTCTTAAGTTCTTATTTCAAGTTTCAAGTGCTTTTATTCGCGACTGAATTATGGAGAAGAAAATATAATATTGTTATATGTTCAACATTCACCATTAGTATATGGTGAATGTCGACAATGACCAGTATAAGCCAGAAATAAGAGTATTTGGAAAATATTTCGGACATACACCAAGAGAATGCTGATATTCACCGGTGAAAGACATTCTCCAGATTTCGGTCTTTCACCGTAACATATATATCTATAATTATATGCCGAAATGCCAATTTAATATTAAATAATGCATGAATTTTTTTTTTGCATGTATATAAAAGAGGAAGATATTGAAGTGCATAATCCTACAACTACAAACATTATGAAATTACAATTATCAAATGTCTCAAAATGTTTTGTATGAATTTTCAATAAAACAAATTATATAAAAAAGCAAGAAGCTAAATATATGTTTTCATTTTAAAAGATGGTACATGCTGAGAATTTTAAACAACTTATAGACACACATTTGAACATAATTTATAATGAAGTATTTAGTGATTTTATTAAAAGTTGAACAACTATTGCTTGGAAATGAAATTAAAATTGAATTGAATAAAATTAAATTTAAATAATTGTATATTTTTAAAATGCTGAGATTATATAAAGTATATTTATTGTTAGATATATAATACTAATATAAATAAATCTATATATATTCTAATACTGAAAAATGTGATGCATCTAATAAAACTGTCTCTCGCAATATATATCACATTAGTAACACTTATATTGTAAGGTGCAAATCCTTCATAGAAAATTGGAGATGTTAGCAAAACATGCAGTGCTGCTAAATTATTGCATAATTCTTTAAACGCATTTTTTTTTTTTTTTTTTTTTTTTTTTTTTTTTTTTTTTTGAGGAGGAGGGCGGGAACTTCCTTGTATGAAGTCAAAGAAGTATTATAATTGTGAAAAATTTTGTATATGTGATTGCTATAACACCCAGCTGATCACCTCCCGTTTTTATTGCAATTGACTCTACCAAAGGTGTATGTGTGTATATATATAGAATGAAAATAAAGGGTATATATATATATGCACTCACTCCCCTTACCTGGCCTTTATTTTCATAGATATATACTTCCAGTAATAGAAGCTTTTAAAATGTTAAAATGATGAAAATTATCCATGTTTGGCATGGTTTTGTTATCATTTTCAACTTGTTTTGAGAAATCGGTTAATTAAGTTAGAATGCAAAGAAATAATTTTACATGAAGTGCGGGCAAAAAAGTGTGTTAATAAGCATAGAAGGAAGTCACATGGTGTCTACATCATTTTTTTAAGTGGCTTAGCAAAATATAGATTGAATGGTAGTTATATTTTCATGTTAAATTAGAAGACAAACATGCTAATGTAATAAATGAATTAGAAAAATATAGATTGAATGGTAGTATGTTTTCACATCAAGTTAGAAGACAAACATGCTAATGTAAAATTTTAAACTAGGCAAAACAGCATTCTTAGTTTGGTGTAGATTATGAATAAATATCTAAATACAAATCAAATATTGAAAAACAAAAGAGAGTTGAGAGGTTTTTGCATGTTAAATAACTTTTTAAAATTAAAGCCTAAAATAATATTCTCATTAAAAGAGGGGTATAAATCCATGGATTCTGCTCGTTCAATGTGGTCTTGATTAAATTTGGGATTGAGATGGGCAGAAGTTGTCATGTCACATATAAAGTACCTAGCATTGAACCTTATTACATTTAGATTTAAATTTTTACAGAATTTACATAATACCTATTCTTAGTTGTAATTTCAGTTATCATAAGTTATTCTATTCGTACTTCAAGAATCAGAAATATCCTTCAGAAGCAAAATTCACTTGAAAATGTGCATTCACAATACAACTGACACTATAATTTTTCCATTGACATGCCATAAAGCATTTCGATTGTTGAGAATGAAACTGTTCACCTAAGTTCTTCAGATATAAAAAGAACCTATAAACTTAAAAACATAAAAAATAGCATGAACAAGCTGAAGAACTTGAAATACTTGATCATTCATAATTTAATAATTATCAAAAGAACATTCAAAATAATACACAACTAAGGAAATACTTTCAGGCAATGATAAAAATAAATCAAGTTACCTATAAAGTTATATTAATAATCTGTAAAATTAAAACTAGGCAAAATAATTGGAGTAATTCAAGCATTATAGTATGCTTTACTCAAAATAAATATATCAGCTTTCACAAAATAAATAATAAAGTTTAAAAATGGTTTTATGTATATCCCTTCCATTTTAAGATGTACTTAATGAAATCAATAAGTTTTTATTATATATTGTATAAAAAATATAATATCTTGAAATGCCTTGCAATCTAGTAAACTATAAAGAAAACCAATTGTAATTGCTTTACTGTTTTTGAGGGAAAATCTTATAAGAGGCATGTAAGCTGTCAATGTATGTAGCCCTCACATTAAATTAACATACTCATTATACTTTCACGCAAGTCTATTATTAGAAATTTATATTTTGACATTCTATATCTAACTTTCCTGAAAATCGAGCAATAAATTCTGAAAAGAAATGTGATAATATTTAGCTATACGAACAGGTACAAAGAAAGCATTGATTACTGTGTACTGTTCATATAACAAGGTCATCTTAAAATGTCATGTTTAAGTTTTCTGTTTTATTTGTTAAGAACAGAAGTTGTTTATAAGCAAATCTAATCAAATATTCTTAAGGAATACTAATAAAGCATATTTTTTAATTAAGCGTATACTTTCTACAATAACATATTTTGTATATTATTCTATGAAATGGGTGGTAAGATGAAAGTTATACACAATCTAATTGTTAAAATTTTAACCAGTTTATAGCAGTCATTTTGGTTAAATTTTCATTAAACAAAATTTATTTTAAATCTAGGCCCCCATACATTTCTTCAAAGATTTAATTTAGATTTTTTTCAAACTTTATAAAATATACAATCACTTCATTAACACCCAATACAACCTCTAATTCCTCGATTAATTCTGATAGAGGCATGCATTTAAGAACAAAATTATTGTTCTGAGCTTTCAAATAAGTACATAATACATTTTAAAATACCTACAATTGCTGTAATATAAATATGAAGCTGATAGCTAAACAAATAGATTCATAAACTAATCTTAGTATAGTATCTGATAAATAAGCATTTTTTTGCAGCAGTTTGAATCAGTCTTACAGTTCATCACAAGATTTTTTTCATGATACATCAAATTCTTCCATGAACTATGTATATTGAAAAGGTGAGTTTAAAGACAAAATATGTTAAGTATGATAATAGAATCAAAAGTATAAAACATTAAAACAATAATTCAGTTTTTAATTTCTTATCCACATAAAGATGTTAGATATATATAAATATATCTAACAAGATTAAAATTATATTAAAATATTCTAATAAAATGACAAATTGGAAAATAAAATGAAATTTTATAAAGCATATTTTGGATAGTACAGAAAGCAATTTAGGAATTTAACTTGTAATTTTTTTTCTTTTTTGTATGAAAAATGTAGTAGTATCTCAATATTTCTTTTTTCTTTTAATATTTAAACTCCTTGTGCACCACATATTATTACACAAAACTTACAGAAGCAAGTAAAAAAAAATTAAATAAAATAAAGTTACCAATTCACAGATGAAATGTTAGAAAAAGTACAGAAAGAAGAAAATGCCATTTTATCTTGAACAGACATATGGAGAGGTAAAGAAAATTTAATATCTAAAGAATTTAACCGAGAATTTTTTTTTTCTTTTGTAAGCTCTGAATGGCTAAAAAAAATATTTTGACATTTTGTACTCCCCCAAAGCTACAGGAACATAAGTCCATTTGAGATAGCTGAAATCTCTTCAGATATGAATTGAAGTCTGTGCTTAGTTAGAAATGTAGTAATTTCAAAATTGTGTGAAAAAGTATTTATTATCGAGTTTGTAAAGAGCAAGATAAAATAATTTAGTTAGAGAGGCAATAGAATTTCTTAATAATTTATTCCACTTGAGAATTTTTTTACTCTGTTTCTCAAAGAACGATGCAATGTCATTGTGGTGTTAATTTCAAGATTTACAGCTTGTTTTGCTAAGCAATCAGTCCTTTAATTTCCTAGATTGCCAATGTTGATGAGACATGTACATGAGTGAGGATGATACCATCACCATTATTAAGATCTTTAAGAATCACCAATATTTAATGACGCAAAAATATTTTGTTCTGAAAAATCCTCCAAATAACAATTGTATATATAATGCTGTAGTTAAAAATATTTAATACATTTGCTGTTGATAATGGTGCTCCCTTCATATGCACCAAGACCCTGTTTGTATTTTTATGTTTTTAAATTATTTTTCACAGTTTTATTATTTAAATACAGATACAACAAATTAATTTCAGCAGTAAATAAAATTCACACGAATATACTCATAGTTGGCATATAATATTTTTGCTCCGTCTGCCATCTACAAGATAAATCGAAACTAAATAATACTCATCTTTTCTCTGCATTCATGCAAAATTGGACATGCAATATGTATTTTCCCTTAGTCTTGTATGAATCACTGAACAAGAATTCAATCAGTCTGCTTATAACATTTGCCAAGTGAATAAACAAGAACAAAAAAAAAAGTTTGGGTGTGTGTGTTTTGTGTTAAAAAAAGCATTTAGTTTTTGTATCTAAGTTTTGAGAAATAAATTATCTATTTCAGTACGCCGAGTCTATTATTTAGCCCCTTCCTGTATGCTAAACACTTAAGCATTACATGTATTTGCTACAGCAAAATTCGTAAGGTGATCAGTAATACTTTACCTCATATTTGAGAAGTAAACTCAGTTTGGCAGTTACAAGTATTATCATACATAGCAGCAAAACATGTTAACTGTTACAATTACAAATAGGGAACTATTATATAAGACAAACTGATGTAATAATTTTAGAACAGTATTTGATAAATAGGCAACTTTTTGCTAAAGGCAGTAAACATACTAAGAGTTTAAATTATTAAACAATTAAAAAGTATTCCTATGAAAAATTTCAAAATAAACCTTTTAAAGACACTCCATGTGTATCTAAATCAATAAAGAAATTTAATTGCCTTTCTTAATTTACATTAATACCACTTCACTACTTCTCTTAACTTTTAACTATTGTGAGCGGTCTGACAGACCGCTGAGGATTTTCTAGCCATCGTTTCCACCCCTAAAAACGGAGAATTGTACCTGTCCTTCCTCCTACCTTCCCAAACCCGTCACACAAGGTCACATATCCAGTTTCACACTTCTAGCTTTGTGGTTTCAGTTATCACGTTTTTTACTTTTTAAGGTGTCTGGGAAACCGCTCACAGCAGATGCGTACCAGTTTTAGTGGATGATAGACATCATTTATCAAATGCTTGTTTTTCGCAAAAGTGATAAATATGGTTTCAAATTTTACAAGAGAACGTTCCATATATCTGACTCAAAAAGAAATTGAATATCTTGTCAACAATATTTTTTGATGTAGAATACTCTGATTCTGAAGAACCATGTAGTATTCACAGCGAAAGCAAAAGTTTCTGCAGATGAATATCAATTTTTCTACTGACTGTGAACAAAATGATAATTTTTATGGAAAAAAGCACTTCAAATGGAGCAAAAAAGAACCAAGTCAGGCAGTACGAACACCAAAACATACCATAATAGTTCAGCTCCCTGATATGAAACATCCTGCAAAATAGGCTCTAGAGCAGAGCGCAAAGATACTTGGAATTTATGTTCATATGTTGTTCCAGTCATATCCTGATGCTACAAAACTGAAAAGAAAAGCATTTTATGCTTTTATTAGCTAATCAATGTATTAAACTGCATCTGAAAGTTGGGATAACTTCTGCGTTTTTGCCCAGGGAACTGAAGATAACAATTAGAAGAATCCTTGGACAAAAGGAAATTAAGAGAATGGATTTATCAAGAAAAATTAGAAGAATGAAAACATGTAGTCTGTGCCCACCTTGTAAGAAGAGAAAAACAGCATACAAATGCTTGGAATGCAAGGAACCAGTGTATTTTCAGTACTCTCAAAAAGTGTGTTTTGAATTTATATCATCTTATGATTCATCTTGTAAACAAAGATATACTAATCTATTATTTATTAATAATTAAATTCACTGTTGTAGAATCATGGTTTAATTGACAATAATACTTAATAAAGTCACATATTTTCATGCATGTTTAATAAAATCTTTGTTCTTTAAAAACTTTTCCTTAAAACTAAGAAAATAGTATATTTTATATGAATTCATCTGCGTAAAATCAAATGATTTATGTTTAAAATATACTGATTTAAATGAATTAGAATTCTATAAATATGCATAAAGTATCTAACATTTCTTAAAAAGGCATAAAAGTATGTATTTTTACATGTTTCTTTAAAGCAGTTTGTGAGACCACTCACAGTAATTATGCAAAAAAAAATTGTCACAGCAGTTAAAGGTTAAGTATTGGCATACTATCTAACAAGGTTAATTTATACAGTTGTTACCAGGGTTAGTTGTGGCCAGTTGAAAAACTAACTGATAAAAACAAAGTTAGTCATAACAGGCAAGACAAAAATATAATTCTGGTGCATATTCAGATTTTTTTCCCCCTTCCTTCTTTTGGATAAGACACTAACTTCGAAAACTGAAGCTGTCAGCATGCTCTTTACGGTACAGTTCTTAAAAATTGGATTGGAAAAGCATGTTAACATTATATTATTTGTATTACTTTATAATTATTTAGAAAATGAAAAATTTTGACAAAATTTGAGTTACTCAGAAATTTTGCACGTGTCTCAGTTAAGGTATGAGAAAAGACTCCGACTTAGCCCTTTTTTAGCACCAACTCAGTTACCATCTAACAAACAGCAGAGACCTGAATCATGATTGTGATTTGGAAAATGTTTTCTACAGATACTTAAGAAGTTCTGTAAAAGAAAATTTGTTTCATCATCAAAAAGCTAACCAAAAAAATTCCTTAAAATGATTGTCGCTGAGTTATTATAAGGAATTCTATTTATGAATGGGAGTTGGTTTCAAGGAAAACACATCTTGCTGGTGCAACAAATATATCTATGAAAAATTTTTTGAAAAATTATGGAAATGATGAATTACTTTGTGAACAAAAGATATAATATGTCACATGTAAATAAAATCTTTTCGGGTTTCAAAATCATTCAAGTGAGGTTTCGATACTCTTACTAAATAAACTTGTAAATACTGTTTGTTATAAATTTTCCCTTAAATTTAATTAATTACTTAAATCATTATTTAAAAGTTTAATGATCTCTCTTAAAAAGTCCGTATCTTTTGCATTAAAGGAAAATATCTTGAGTTTTTTTTTTAAACTGAAATAGTCCATTCCAAGATAATTTAAACAAAATGCTACATTGTTTTAATCAAATAGCAACGGCAACATCATACAAGAAAGATTTGCACTTACAAGATAGTTTGTGTGCAATGCAAAATATGCTTATCCTCTGGAGAAGCTAGAAAATATTAATATTTTTTTAATTTTAAATATTACACTTTTAGGATAAGAGTTTACTTTTTAGAATCTTATATAATCATTAAAATCAATTTAGAAACTAGATTTGAAGTACAAAAATACAGCCATTCTATTGAAAAAGAGATATTAATTTTGTGTGAAAATACCAAACTAATAAATGTAAAAATGATATTTTCACTTAAGAAAACTAAAAACATTAAATGAAACTGATATGATAAATGAAACCAAAGATAACTGAAGGAGGAAAAAAAAATTACAATTATTATGAAAATTTATGATGGTAAAGTACATGTGCTATAAATTAAAAATATTTCTTAAACTAGCCCCACTAATTTTTTAGACAATATGACAAAATTATAAAATTATGCAAAGCTTAAAATTACCTGCATTGCATGTATATGCCTTATTTTTTAATTCTGTGACAATATTTTCAATTATTTAATTTAGTTAATATAAATTTTTAATATGGAAAAAATATTTTCATTTCTAGCCTAAATTTTTTTAATTACCTTTACCTTCACTACCTGAAATTTTTACTGGAGGGAGAACAGTGGTATTTCATACTAACAGTACATATTTTACTGTTTCTTTTTACAGTCTTGTTAATTGCTATAACGACATTTTCTTCTTGTTATTTTTTATTTTGACATGCAGAAAAAAGGAATAAATTGCAGAGAAATAGTTCCTACAAGCTTAATTATTTCACCATTTTTCTCATGATGGTATTAGATTCCTAAATGGCAATGTTTCCAGAGATATTTGAGATACTACAGCAGCATCTAGTCCGAGAAAAATTATGGCACTATTCATTTCAGAGAGACTGATAAAGATTAAGTACAAACATTAATTGACACAAGATTTGAGAACGATCACAGAAAGCATATATAGGCACAGATAAAATTTCAAATAAATATATATTTCTTAAATAACAAACATAACTATGTACAGTATATATAGACTAGAAACACAGAATCACCATTAGCAGAAATCTGGGTTACATTCATTATCAGGAATAAAGAATTCTCAGTAAATCCACTTCAAAAATACTTAACAAAAGTGAATGATATCCAGTTATTTTATATAAATTGATACAAATTGCTATAAATTTATACAATTGTGCAATAAGCCAGTGATACATTCAGGAAGATCCTCCTCCAATTTTCATATTTGACATCTTAAGTTTCAAATAACATCACAGGAAAACTTATAGGTGACCTTTAAAGCATACTAATAAAAATTACCTGTATTAAAATTTCTAAAAAATTCATTTGGGTCCAACCCAAGTGAAATCTAGTTTATGCCACTGCTGTTAGCCATTCACATATGATAAATAACATTGTATGTTGTATGCTTTGTTCCAAATGTGATCTTTAAGTAGCCATGTTCTTTTCTATTCCTTTTCTTGAATTAGAAATACTAGTTTGAAATAAAATTCACAATTTTCTGTGATGAAAAGTAGTTAAAAGTAATTTATAGACATAACTAGTTCAATAAAAGCATTTTTCAAGGAATAAATTAAGAATTAAAGAATTCCTTTAAAGGTCACTATTAATTGTATTTCAGTAAATAAAAAATGAATTAATAATATTTTTATAAGATATTCAACAAGAACATATATCCAGCCATCATAAGATCAAAAAAAAAAATAAAATTATTTCAGAATAGATGCATAAAATAGCAATTCTATAATACTTATTTATGTCTTAGTTTTAATTTTTGAAGATGAAAATTACAAAATGTGTTAATAAAATAATCAAATACTTTTTAATAATTCTTATTTATAAAACAATTTTTTAAATACTCAATAATAGTCAAGACTGAGTTAGAAGTTTTTTAGTTACAAAAAAACATACAAGCTTTGATCACAATTCAAACATGCTTTCCCAATTTAAAAAAAAAAGTTAACACTAGAAATATCTCAGTTTTTCTACTGAATTTTAAAAAATACTTAAAATTACTAAAAATATTACATATAAATCTAGCTCTCCATATATTTCATTTTTTTTTATTTGAAACTTTATTTTAACTAATGATAGGAAAAGGAATGTATTTTATAATGCGTAACATTTTGAATATAAACTCAAACAGCTGTAAAAAATTTGTTAGAATATGGCTGGATATGGAACATAGCTTGCAGATACATATATACAATAAATTTCCAGCCGGTAAAAATTAAATATAAAAGGAAAAAAGACCCCTTAAAGCCTTTGGTAGGACAATAGCTTCAATACAGCCTTTTGCATTAAAAAAAAAAAAATTCACTGGGCTTTAAGAAATATAACATCTTTTTAAGGATAAATCAATCATACCATTTTTTATATCACAGGTGAAGAAAATATATTGTTCAGCTTGAAAGTGAAAATTTAAATACCTAAAACAAATTATTACATCTCCTAAAATATACCTAAAAGTCAATACTTTAATTTAGTACTAAATCTTTACTGCTCAGTATTCTGAAATGTACTTGAACGTATTTTGCACTTTTTTACATGAGATGTTATAATGTAAATTTGAATATTTTAATAAAAGTAAATGCATACATGTATATAAATAAGGATTATCAACACCCTCATTATTCAAATTTTACATATATTTTAGTAAGATTTAAACTTTTAAAATATAAATTATTAATTTAAAATTAAAATCTAATACGTATATTAATACATTCATTCACACAGAAATTTTAATACCATTTATCAGTTGTTTGAAAAAATTTGCCCTAATTAATAAGTTATTTGAAAACATCTGTCCACATTTTCACTAAACTAGAAAACTAGGATGTTAGATAAAATTTTCAACTGCAGTTTAGTGCGTGAAACATAATTTGTTAATCATACATTTTTGTTCAGAAAAAGTTATGTAAATAACCGAGTGATGCAAATGCATGTTAGGAAATTGACATTTAGTAGGATAATCTAACTAGTTCTCTACTACAATCTAGTGACTTCATCCCTATCTGCTTCATCTTCTTCATCATCTTGAGCAATGTCTGGTAAATCACTCTCAGATTTGTTTCCTGACCTTCTTGACAAAGCTGGTGAATGTGCTCTAGAGTCTTGACTTGAAGATTCTGAAAAATCAGTACTTTCTGAAAGGCCTGTACTTGACTGGGATTCTAAACCATCCCAAGACCCTTTAGGTGTTAAAGATCCTGCTCCACCACTGATTGTAGGCCATGGACGCCTTACAGCACCTGCTGCTTTAGGTAATGTAGCAAATTGCTTTGGTACAATAACAGGAGATGCATGTGCAGTTCCAGCATGACTTTTGAAGCCCCCATGCCCAACACAATTAGCAGGAAAACCATAACAACTAATGGTGTCATCAGAAATTACTGTTTCAGGCACACCACTGGAGGTGTCTGAGCTGGCACAACTGTGAACACTACAAGAACTAGGGGGCACTAAATTGTGAATTCTTGTGACTAAGCATGGACTAGGAGGAATGCGAATGCCTCGATCTTTCCATTCTAAAAAAGGATAAAAATACTATCAAAAGAAATTTTACAAAAAACTATGCCAATTTAATAAAGTACAATTTGTGAAAACTTATGTAACAACTAAATTAACTGAGCATATTTATATAATGAAGCACAGATTAAATGCAATGTTTCTTATACAAAAGTAAGTAAAGGGAAACTTGATGCACAGTGTGAAATATTATTTCTGAGCAACCATTAGCATCAAACCTACGGATGAAAGAACCAACTTAACATTTTATGAAATTCCTTTAAGACCCTAAATCAGCATTTCTCAAATTGTGGTTCTTAAAACCTGCCTCCTAGATTTGCAAAAATGTTTTGTTATACATATGAGGGTTGGAACTTTAATAGTGGCAACTATTTATTTACAAGGAATGCAAAAGTGATTCATATCACCATGTTTTACAGTCCTTCAATATAGTCGCCAGCATTGCGTACAACCCGTTTCCAACGATGTGGAAGTTGCAGAATACCTGTAGCAGCACCTGTTTTGTTGATAGTTTGAATGGACCGATCTACTGCCGCAAGAATCTCAGGAACAGTTTGGAAGCATGGTTCCTTCATCTTAGGAATTAAGTCATAGTCACAAGGGCTTAGATCTGGGGAGTATGGTGGATGGTAAAGCACTTCCCAGCCCCATCGCTTGAACAAATCAGTTACAGCTTGCGCTGCATGCGGCCGAGCATTGTCATGCAAAATGAGAGGACGGTTCTTCAGAAAGTGTCGCTGTTTTTTTCTCAAAGCTAGTCAGAGATTGTGCTCCAAAAATGAGCAGTAATACTGTGCAGTGACGGTCTGCTGTGGGGGAACGGTAAGCGTTAGGATGACACCATCACAGTCGTACACGAGAATCACCATAACTTTCACATTGCTGGGGTTCTGACGAAATTTCGAACGTCGTGATGACACCATTCATTTGATTGGCGTTTCAGTTCTGGCTGGTACAATCGGGCCGAAGTCTCATCCAGCATAATAATACGGCATAAAAAAGCATCTCCTTCACGCTCATAGCGCTCCAGGTGGGTTCGCGCAGCATCATATGGTAGCCATTTCTGCATTTCCGTCAACTGATGTGGAACCTATCGTGAAGCAATTTTTCTCATGGACAGGCGTTCCTTCAGAATGTGCAGCACAGTCGTATGCGCTAATCTTGTTTGTCCGGCCAACTGATGAATCGTTTGGCGTCGATCACTGTCCATTAGTGCGGCAACAGCTTGCACATCTGCATCACTGGCACTCAGACGACCTGGCCGCAGCATGTCTGCCACGTTTTGGCGTCCTTTATTGAATGCTTTCACCCTTCTTGCTATGGTTCTGTAAGGCAATGCAGATTCCCCACAAGCCTCTTGAAGCCCTTGATGACACTGTTGTGCTGTACGACCTCTGGCACATTCAATTCTTATCCAACATTGTTGTTCTTGTTTTGAAAACATCCCGACAACACTTACTTCAGACCGCGAGCTAATACAAGGATCCGTTCTTCGCGTCACTCCGCATGCGCGTGACGTAGGCAGGACGAGTCTTTTTGCTGAGAGGTAAGGTAGGTATGTATGTAGTTCACGTGTGGTATACGCGATATTCTTTGGTTTTGTTGCGTAGTGTTTTTTCAGCTGTGTTGCAACTATTAAAGTTCCAACCTCCGTAAAATAACAAGAATTTTATAGCATTTCTTGCTAGTGGCATATAGGCAAGTATACTGGCATATTTTTCAGAACTAAATGAATTAATTTGGGAAAACAAAATTAACTAAATCTCTGTCTATAAGATAATTTTTTTTTTTTTTTTTTTTTTTTTTTTTTTTTAACTGTTCTCAATGCATATGAGAAAATAAGAGATTTGTGTGGAAACTTTGTTTGTGGATTAGTTGTGTAAAACAGAGAATTTTTACCATTTCATTCATCATTTTAAGTAGAAAACTATATCATCATTGAAAAAGAATTCTCAAAACTTAGAGATCTCGGAGACATCAAAAACTTAAGAGATCATAATTTGAAATTTATTTTCCAAATGGTAAATGTAATGAATTTTAATGGATTCGTGATTTTCCATTACGATTTTAAAAATAACAAACTGTCACTGAAAGAATGAGAACAGTTAACTGAATTCGGTAATGACACCATACTTAAAATGAAACTCCAAACAGAAAGTATGTTTAATTTCTGAACCTCATTACCAGTGAAAATGGAATATAGTGAACTATACAATGGTGCTTCAAAAATTATAATTCAGTTTGCTTCTGTGTATGACAGAGTTTTCATCACTAACTTATATAAAAATAAAGAAGCGTAATTCACTTGATGTGCATGATGATCTCGGACTTATGGTTACAAGTATACGTTTGAACATTAAACAACTGGGGAAGAATAAGCAGGCTCATTCACATCATTAATGCAAGTACCAATATTCATTTACTTTTTAGCTAATAAGAGTATCCAAATTTTGATAACCTTGAATTATTAAAATCAAACATAACTTTTCTTCTAATAACTTAATTGAATAAAACCAGGATAAAATTAAATGAACTTAACTGTATTTTTAAAATATAAATATACTGATAGTAACCAGGTGTGACTACGTTTCCATTTTGAAAATCCTGAAAAATATTCGGTGGTAAAAACCCAACATAATTTTTTAAAAAAATCTGAAAGCTTTCAGATTTTATATTATGCTCGAGGCATTTTTTAGCATTCTGTGTGTTAAATATCATGTTATTCACAATTAAACCATAAAATTCAATTCAGCAGTAATATTGTGAAATAATTTAAAACAGAATTTCCGATACACAGTCTTGCGCATTGGAGATAAAAATGTTCTTTTTTCCCCGTACAGGTTGCAATTGCTATATTTTTAAAATATAAATTACGTTTCCATTTTGAAAATCCTTTGAAATCGTTGAGTTTCTTAATCAAAAACTCATAAATGCTTTACAAAACATGAAATAAATAATAAAACAAATTTCAAATTCAGGCCTATATTCGAGTGGAGATGTAAATTATTCAAAAACTGATGGCTCTAGGTACTGTTGTTTTATCACAGTTAGATAAACATACATACATTTATGCAGATTCTTCATTATATAACTTCTTTAAATACAGTACAAAGTCCGTAATCGGGACTTTGGCGATTCCGGATTAGGGGTTTCTCCGGATTATAGATCATCAATTTAAATCTGGTAAGATGGCATGCAGAAATTCTATATGAAACCGTAATTTATGAAATAAAGAGCAATTATAATCTAAAAGGTATCAAAATTTACAAAAAAAAAAAGGCTTAATATTTATTTGTTTACTTTATTAAACTTTTCCTTCAATGTAACTTGTTTAAGTTGCTTCATTTTTTGTGCTAATACTTTCTCTTTAATTCTATAAATAGGCATAATTTCTTGTTCAGTTGCAAAGTTCCACTGTTCAAGTCCTGTACTTGAAATGTCGAAAATACTGACTAACTTGTCAATCGAAATTTTTTCGTTTTCAATAACTTCTCTGTCACTCTCTTCACTATTGGAAGCGGTATGTTCTGGATCTAGAGCCATACTACAGATTTCGCCATCTGTTAATTGATTGATGATTAGGGCATTGTTGCAGCAATGAAAAACTTCTGTTATATCATCTTCATTTATTACCGCTTCTCCATATTTCTTTACATATTACTCCATATTTTATATTAAAATCCAATAACTGGAAAATTTCACTTCAGTTTGCGATGTCTGAAAACCTTCAAATTCGCGGCTATAATCTTCATCGTCTTCACCATGAAATATGGTAGCTGACCATAAATTATGGCAAGCATTTTTTAACATATCTGGAGACACATCCTTCCAACGCATTAACGCGCATGCGTAAAGCATACCCCCCCCCAAAAAAAAATTGTGGCTTTAAGGTCCGGATTATAGATTATAGATCATTTCGGATAATGGACGTCCGTATTGTGGACTTTGTACTGTATAATACAGGGTGATAATATTTCACGGCAACAATCTGAAAATTGATTCAGCCTTTTAAAATTTTTGACACAAAATGCCAAAATGAAATTAATAGCCCTTCTAGGCTAATAATTCAGAATAGTAACACAAAATACATATGTGCATGCACATGTATTTTCAAATTACTTCGCTGGCAAAGCAAAAATGATATGTATTTTTTAATGTATCAAAGTTGATTTATATTTCACTACATCAGTTCACACAGTTAATTGTTTATTTAGTTTGTCAACTTTTTTTTTTTTTTTTTTTTTTAAATAATTGCTAAGTTAAGCTTGCTCTTCTTCAAGGGGAGAGGTTACTTTCTGAAAACTATGATGTTTATATTTTCATTTGCTAACAACTGGAAAATACAATATGATCTGCTGGACATTGTGATGTAGACAATGCCTTTATGAGAAGAGAATGACTCGTGGAATGTAAAAATTTTAATAAGCTGTCCAGTTATGCAATAAATTATTTTTAAAACCTTTACCAATAGTTATCAGAGGGATTTTTAGACTCGTAGTTTTGTATAATGAGAATAAATAGTATTTCAGTCTGTGAGACATCTAAGCTATTATTGCTCAAGAATGGTCTTCATCCTGACATAATATCAGTCATATTATTAAACGAACTTTTAATACTGGTTCCATGTAAGCGAGTTAAGAGATTTAATCAGTTTTGCCAATATTGGAACTTTCTATTTTCCATCTTCCATCCAAATACTTCTGCTGAAAATTTTATATTAGCTTTTCCGTTCTCTGTATAAAACAAACTTAGTTTGCTTTAACAAGAAATAAGACAAATACCAAAATAACTTTATGTTAGACAAACTTCGTATATTCTAACACGAAGTTTGACCTCTCAGAATATAAAAGAGTAAAAAATCCATAATTCTGCCTATATCTTTCTTAGATGAGAAGAATAAGATTTTCAGTAAAACTTTATAATTATAAAAGTGATTCCCGCTTGAAAAAGTTTGAGAAATGCTGCTCTAAATGATAACTTTAATTCTTAACTCTCCTTCCTCATTAACAATTTTATTTCCAAACACTTTTCTTTTTTGAGAGACTTAAAAAAATACTTTCATAAATCTTAAGATATTTTAATTTCTTTAATCATAGCTGAAATCCTTTCTGTAACCATCTTTTAAAAAATTTAAAATTTAATTGCTAAAATAAAAGATTAATCATTGCTGAGAATTAATTTACAATATCATTTAAATTCTAAGAGCATAAGTAAATTAAATACACAAATTTAAAACAATGAAAAAATATAATATTTCAAAAATCAATCTCAAAATTTTTTAATGAATTTTTAAGACCAAATTAATTTGCAATAAGTGAATAATTGTTGAGTAGGCAGGAGACAGACTTATCAAGGGAAAGTTGCCTCCAAACCTAACTTTTCAGTTACTCAATTCGTGTTTCATCATCCCATATAGGCAAGGGTGGTTTTACTTTTGGTTTTGAATTTTACTATACCCTTGAGGAGTTAGGTTTGGAGGCAACTTCCCCTTGATAAGTCTGTCTCCTGCCTGCTCAACAATTACTCACTTATGCAAATTAATTTAACGTTAAAAATTCACTTAAAATTTTTTTGAGATTAATTTTTGGAATATTATATTTTTTCATGGTTGTAGATATGTGCACTTAATTTACATGATACTGTAAATTAGTTCGCAGCAATAATTAATCTTTAATTTTTATTTTTGCAATTAAAATTTCTTAATTAAATTTTTAATTTATATTAGCTTTTTATGAACAGAGAAATTTGTTAAATTCAAATTTCATTCCTTGCAGCAATGATGCAAAGATTATTTAAACTTAATTTAACTTTACTATATTCTTGTAAAACAATTTTAAAAATTTTTAAATTTTTCCTCTTAGAATAAATTTTATCTATAAATAAAGTTATGTATTATGGAACTGCATTGTTATTACCATATCACATCAAATTTAAGCTGCACTTTTTATTCAAATTTTTAAGACATAAAATCAGGGTGCAGCTTAAATTCAAAGTGAATATTTTAAACAATATATTTCTGTCAATCTTCCACTCTGCAGTGGATCCTTTTAAAACTTTTACCCCTTTCTTATGATGTATTACGATTTAAATGGCACTGGTGATCATATGGTCTAGTGCAAGAGTGAGAATAAAAATAAAAATTCTGAAAATAATAGCACACCTGAAGAAAATTCTTAATAAATTAAGTTGCCTATTAAAGTAAATAATTTATTTTTATTATTTTTTAATACCTATCATAAAATAATTTTTATTTTTTATTATTTTTTCAATTTTAAAATCCTACTTAAGTGAAATTTGAAGATGGCTACTTTTTATTGATTTCCTCAATTAGATACTTTTAAAAATTCAATTTAAATTCACGTATAAATTTAATTTGAAACAATATGATATTTTGAAATTACTCCTATTCATTGGACTCACGAGAACTTTAATAAATATGTAGAGTTATGAACGTAAATTTAAATTAAATTTGCATAATCGTTCATTGAAAAATATTTTTTACGAATTCAGTAATTTTTAACTATATTTCAGAAAAAGATATTAACAGTTTCAACTACTTATACAAAATCTTCAACTGAAAGATAACTACTCTTCTGTTTAAAGTATTTGAGGAGTTAAGCTACGGATGTGAAAATTGCAATACTTGAATTTGGTTTTTAGAAAATGTTAGCATACTCTCTGTAGAAGAAATAAATAAAGTTATAACATGCAGGACAGCATACTTTGTATTTTAGTGCAAATATCATTAAAGTAAACCACAGATCATTTCAGTTAGCACAATGATGCATTTTCAGCAAAGAAGCCTGTGTTTCTACTATCAGAAATAGAGCCCTGGTAAGACGTAACCTTTTTGTTCACCAGATTTTTTAAATTTTGATTCTGAGATTCATTTCTATCAGCATGGTCTAAAACAATGCAGTGACTCAGTTTATGACAGACACCAAGAGAGACATTCTACTAATAGTTCCTGAAATGTCTAAAGATCTGGAATAAGTCTGCTTTTTCCAAAGTAATATCCACTGGAGTAAACATACTTGCTGATAAGTAACTAGATAATTATTTTTTACATTTCAAACAAAGATGCCTATATGTATTATTCCTAAGTGTTTTGAACATAGGAGTATTCTGAAAAGAGACTTAAAGTAATGTATACTGTGCTGATTTTATGCATTTCAAGACAGGTGTATTCAGCCACATGGAGCATTATTTTGCTTGGAAATGGCTCTATTACATTATTTTTATCTGCCTCTTGTAAACTGTAACTCATTCATTTTGTCATTTACTGACTTTCAGATTATTAACACCATGCATAGCAAAATTTCAGTATTTCGTGATTCATACAATACATAAAATTCTGCTATTTGCTCTTTCGCTCATTTAGCTGAAAATAAAAACTTGAATAATCAAATTGAAGACAGCAAAAAGAATGAATACAGAAACACGATTATGTAAATACTATTTGTATATTTCAAATTAAATAGAATTCACCAAAGATATCCAGCACATAAGTTATTTATATAATATAATGAATACCAGTTCCTAGTATTATAAAATCTAGCATCTATATAACTCAGGTTGTCCTTTTGCTTTAGCTGATAGTTACACTAATTCACATCACTCAGGACTAAGGATCATGTTGATTAGTGAATTCTGTGCATTATTGGTCATGACTTTTAGAGTTTTGTTTACATTTTTTTTTTCTTTTTAAATTTTACATAATATCTGTATTGTCTGAATATAAAAAATTAATGGTACTTATTGGTTATACTGTGTCACAGTTCTTGATGACAGTGTTTGGTAACCCTACCAAACACTTGTACTGGATTATTTGAATAATGGTAAAGAATACAAAAGTTATCAGCCTAAGAGAATAGATGGCTTAATCAAGGACATTTTAAAGAAAAAAAAATCATATTCACATTACACAAAGGGACAATTATACAAACTCTCATGCAGGGAATCCCCATTCCCTTTGCTGGAATATGAACTTGAGTCAAACTACCAATGTTCAGTAGTCTTACAACTCAGCGAGAAGTAAGCACCGATTTCTTGAAAGATGGCTATAAACTCCTGGTTCTGCTAGTGTCAAATTCTGTAAGTTATACTTGCTTGACATTATTAAATGTTTAACTGCTAAATGAAAAAAAAAAAAAAATCTCAAGCAAAAATTGGTGCACTAAAAGATGAGGAAAGAATGTAAATAATGGTCACTGGAACTATACTTTACAACTCCCCCCCCCAAAAAAAAATTAGAGATAAAAAAAGATAAGTATCACTAAGAAAATTTGACCCAGTATAACTGATAAGTAATGAATTAACTAAACCACATACATAAACTTAAAAATTATGTAATAAAAATTTAGAACATGTCAGTACAAGTGAGAAAACGTATCGGAGAGAAGAATTTTTGCGGAAACAAGAACTCTTTATTTTAGAAAAATGCATTGAAGAATTATATAAAAAAATCAGCATATCAACCATCAAATTTACTTTCAAAGTAATTTTACACTTAAACAAGAGAAAAAATAAATAAATTCACCATCTACAAAACTCCTAATCATAAGGATTTTCCTAAATTGAGTTTTTGCAGACTATAGGATAAATGTAAATGAGTATATTAAAATCTTAAAGACTGATGAGACAAATGTTTGGGGCAAATTTTAAAATGCCATAAAAAGTGCAGGTTCATCATTCATCCAAGAAACTTTTCCTATAGTTCTCAATTTTTTGGAGTACTAACTAAAATATTGTTTGCTTATTGACACTTCCAACAGCAAATCTTTTATTATTATGGGCAAGTATAAGTAGTATCGTTAAGCAAGTGTTAAAAATATTGAAAACTAAAGCATTAGTTAATAAAATTTTATGAGTTTATTTTAAAACTATCAGCTTACCTTGAAGTAACTGTCTTTCCTTCTCACACAGTTGTTCTAGTTCATATTTCTTTTCTTGAAGAACCCTCTAATAAAACAAAAGTATTATTTAAAGCTTGTTGGAAGTCAAAAAACGCATAAAAAAAATTTCCAATAAGAACTGATACTTTTGACAAAAACCAGATTATGAAATATGCGAAGAAACTGAATATGTATATATATTAACTACATTTTATGATACAATTCAATAGTTTGTGAAACTGACACTTGAGTGAATGTGCTACAATAGTTCATACCATTAATCCAACACAGCTTCATACATTTATGAATTTATATGCATAATTAAAAAAATTCATTTAAGAAGATATGGACAGCATAGTAATATAACTTAACACTAGAACTGCGGGACTTTTGATATACCCAGAACCGCAGTGCACGTCAATTTGGCCCTAAATAGAAAACACCTAAAAATATGCACAGGTGATTACTTTAGTTAATTAAAACATTTTATTTTTATGTAACAATCAATATTTCTCAGAATTTACATTAAGTACTTCATATCAATCAATGGAAATTACAATAAATTTTTAAAAAATTTGTATTATTTAAAATTTTATTTCCTTAAGCATAATAGCATACATGTCTTTTAAACAAAATAAAACATAATTCTTCTAATTTTCATGGAAGAAGAGATATAATTTAAATAAGTTTAGACATAAATGTAGAAAAAAAAATAAAAATGTTAGCAGTTACTTACTAGTTTTTCAGATTATTAAAAATCCAATTTATTGTATGCACTGTGCACAAAATTTAGTAATAAATTTAGTAATAAATTTTATACATTTACCACAAACGGGTGCTTTGCATTTTGAAAAATATCTTGGGTTTTATTTTCACATTTTGAACTGTGGCATCGGACTTGTTTACGCTTAACTTGTCATCTGTCGTTTTCAGTACTTGCTACACACCCATATGTCACCTTTTTTTTTGCCGGGAGAGAACAAATCTTTCTCTCAGTTCTTCAACTAAGTCCTGAATGAATTGTCTCCTAATAGATTTTCCAGATATGGCTTTGTATAAAACCCATGCACTGATAGCAGCAAGGTCCAAAATATTATAAAAACCTGCACTGGCCACCTATATGAAGCAGACTTGACAGTATACTTCCTTGGCATTTGGTCAATCACATCCATGCATCAGGTTGGTTTTTTGGGACTATCTATAATTTCTACAACTGGATGAAAACTACTTAGCAACAAAGTGTTTCTATCTTTTTTTCCTTGATAAACAGACTGAGTTCTTTATGTTTTAGTACCGTAGTCACATGCAATACAGATTTAGACATTTTTACAGAGAATGGTATTTCTCTTCTTGAGTGTTTTACAGTTCCTACAAGGCTGGTGTTTTTGGATTTCAGTGCCTCTGCATGCTTCAGTGTTGTGAAAAAGTTATCTGTAGTGACATTTCTACCTTTGTTTTCATATGGTCTTAATAGTCGCAGTACTACATGTTCAGAAAGAGAAATGTTGGATAGATTTTGGTGATCTTTCCCAAGATATGGTAATCTATTTATTAGATATTTTGCATCAACATTTACAGCTAACCAGAACTTGATTCCAAATTTATCTGGTTTGTTTGGCATATATCGAGTAAACCTACTTCTAACTTTTGTAGAAAAGAACTGTTCATCTACAGTTATATTAGGACCTGGTGTATAGTTTGTCTGGCAATTTTCAATAAAACAATTCCAAGTATCGGAGATAAGGGCAAATTTGTCTGTCTCTAGACGATTTGATCTCATTAAATTTATATTGAAGCATAAGAATCTCATTATTTCACGAAATTTGTCTCTTGACATTGTATTTCAGAAAAACGGTGGTCCCCAGTTCATTGACCACAAGCTATCCAGTTCAAGTACTTTTGAACAATATAACCTACATGAATATAAAATTGCTATGAAAGCATCTATTTCTTCTATTGTTATATTCCATTTATTTTCATGAATCTGTCGATAAGCTTCATCTTCAGTGCATTTCTTGATATGCTTGAATATCCATTCATCTATGAAAAGTCTCCATGTACTTGACGGACTGTTGTTTATAACATTGTGTTTAGCATGTGATGTTAGGCCCCCAACTTCCTTCAAAATATTCTCTTCCTTTATCATTTGTGATCCTTCCTTTATCATCGAGGGTGAGGCAAAAGTAGCTTACATCTACTTCCAAGGAAATGCATCTGTTTTTCGTCATTAGGCATAAACATTTCTTACGGGTCAAATTCACCATAACCTTCACGGGTCTAAGTGTTAATAATCAGAAATTTATTTATGTTACACATTTTCAAATTCAGTAAGTTACTGTTTATCTTAAATTATTAAAAGTCATAAAAGGAACTTTTTTCAATTAATACTTTTCGCATGGTGACAAATTAAACAACAGTTTGGGTCAAATTGATCTGCTCCGCGGTTCTAGTGTTAAAGCCAAGAGCCTAGAAAATTTTTTAAAAAGATACACAAAGCACGTAACTTTTAGCATTTTATGAGAAACAATAATTTCATTTTGTGCAAAATTTAAAATTTTACTATATTACATAACTGTCTATATACTGGGAATAAGATACTAATTGATAGATGAAAATTCTGAGCTGATTCTCAATATTTTTTCACTCACTGTAAGAAAAGTCTTACTTATTTTTTTGACTTTCTGCAACTTTACATTAAACAAAGAATCTTAAGAAAATAAAAGAAATATACATTTACAGCAAATTCAGAACAATTTAATTAGTATTTCTTGGTGTTAATCAAATCAGAATTGCAAAGCTGACCTTCAGCCGAAGATATTTCATGTGTAATTCAACTTTGTGCACACAATCTTCAAACAAAACAACCATTCTCATTGTCTTTTCACAGCTTTGGATGTATTGGACTAATGATTTATGATCAACTTTTTCCATATCATGCCCATTTATGGATAAAATGACATCCCCTAAAATTATGAAAAAATAATAAATGATCTTAAATTATTATATCTATAATTGTTATATATTCCTTACTACAGCATAATGAATATATATATACACAAAATACCTGGTCGCATCCCTGCTCGAAATGCTGGACCATCATACTCTACATAATCGACATAAGTAATAAGTTCTATTTCCCCATCTCGTTTATGATGAATACCATATGTCTGAAATAAAAATAATTTTAGGAAAAGGTAATGAACTCATAACTGTAGTAAAAAGGACAATGATAAGATATATTTTTAAAAAAATAATCTTTCTAGTATTCTTTAAAATTTCCACTGGAAAAATCAAAATAAATCTCAACAGAAAGGATATTACAAAATTATTTTCTAGAGCTTTTTTTAGCATCATGCCAAAACATTTTTACTTGATGCAAATACTTAATTCAATACTTAAAACAGTAATACACATTTTTGTTAATGTAGCTAATATTCGATACTCATTTCATATTATTTTATAGACATAATTATATTTAGATGTGTAGTTATTACGAGGGGCAGTCAAATGAAAACGAGACAGACCATTAATAAGCATGGCATGAAATTTGGTAACGCAGGTAGATTTTATAGAAGCACCCTATTTTGGGAATCAGAAAGGAACAGCGCAAATGCTCACCATTGTGTCTTGTCAGTTAGACATAATCGATGCGAAGTCAGCGAGTAATGTATGCATTCGCCATCACTATGGAGGCTGGAAAAGAGGAACAGCATGCTGTAGTGTGTTTTTGACTGTGGAAGGAAAATCATGAAGTGAAATTCATACCCGAGTGTCTGCTGTGTATGAAGGATAGAGTATGTAACGTGCATGCGTGTTTGAATGGAATACACCCCCTTCAAAAAATCCAAAGCCGTGCGCGTCAGCTCCAGGAAAGTCATGGTGATCTTTTTCTTTGACTGCAAGGGGCCACTGTTCCTTGACTTTCTGGAAAACAGCAACACAATTAACGCACAGCGGTATGAGGAAACTTTGCAAAAATTGAAGTGCGCCATCAAATGGAAATGCCCATGAATGTTAACAGACGGCATCATTCTGTTGCAGGATAATGCCCACCTACATGTTGCCATGGTTCTTAAAGCTACATTGCAGAAGTTTCGCTGGGAAGCACTTACATAGCTTCTGTACAGTTCAGATCTCTCCCCTTGCATTTTCCATATTTTTGGAGCCCTGAAGAAAGACATTTATGGCCATCAGTTTGCTTCGGACAAAGCGATGGACTCCTGGGTACAATTATGGCTCCGTAGGCTACCGAAAATATTTTTCCATGAAAGCATTGACGTCTTGTCTTACAGAGTGAGAAATGCATTAACGGTTATGGTGATTACTTTTGAAATAGAAACATTTTATTATTTTTTCCCATCTGTCTCATTTTCATTTAACTGTCCCTTTTATTTTTGACTTTGTCTATATACAGTGTATTTTTATTTATTATGACTTTGGGCTTTCATTCAAAACATTTTTATTCATATTTACATTAAATCCTTGAATTCTATATCCACAGAGATGTTTTAGTGCTAAACTAAGAAATGTTTGAACTCGCAAAAAATTCTATATCCACTGCAAATGTTCAAAGGACTTAAAATGAGTAACAGAAGCATGCAAGATTTAACCATCAGGCTCACAAATTTCAAAACTATCTAGATGCTAAGCAAAACATATGCAACAAATAATACTGGGTCATCCAGAAAGTTCTGTGGTTTTTCAAATGAAAGCACTTTTTCTTCAAATGATTTTGAACTACTGATGAGCAGTGACCTTGATTGAAGTAGATGTTAAAATAAGGTATTTTCTGCTTATATTGTGTAATTCTAGCTTGTGTTGAGGCATAATTTTTTGTTCAATGCAATGCAAAGGATGAAGAACCCAAAGGTTCATTTTTGTCATCTTATACTTTTATTTTCAAAAAGGAAAAAAATCTGATCTGGACACCTCATATGACTTGCTCATATGGCCTATGAAGTTATACACATTTTTTGCTACACTTCATTTAACCTTAGTTCCTCAAATTTCATTAGCAATATATTTCTTGTTCAATCAATTTAGTTCTCACTTTGCAACAAGGCAAATATATATAAAAACTCAAAAATTTTATTAAAAATTATAAAATACAGAAAAACCTAAAGCACCAAATACAGTTGAAATAGTTAATATTTTTTTTTTTTTTTTTTTTTTTTTTTTTTTTTTATAAAATGAGTTTCTGCGGGAAAACAAGCAATTTGGCCAATGGGCAAAAGTACAAAATTTTTAGTGCATAAAAAACTTAAAGTTAACTTCAGGTTTCACTGGGAAAAAAAAGAACTGATTTACTATACTATAAGAGTTTCAAAATAAATAGCCACCATGTTAGACCTACTGCTACTTAAAAAATTTATGATAATTCTATAACTATTGCATGCACATTAAGTAAAAGTAAAAAACCTTAAATAGAACATCAGAACAACATAATTCAACCACTTTTAAAACAAAAAAATGTACAATTCACCAACATTTAAAAAAAAAGGCAGCTCACCGCACTAGATATGTATGTATGTGTATATATACGCGTTTGGAGAGGCAGACTGCAACAAAAAAGGGTGTTGCACAGTTAGATGTTATAGCACTGCAATATACAAAATTTCAACATTCTATGGCTAATCATTTTTTAGTTATATGTGCATATAAATGACATGAAAAATTCCCTTCTGAATCCATTTTAAAATCCATTTTGGAAAAAAAGACTTCTTTATTTTGTCTGCACATTTAGATGTCACACACAAAAAAATTGTTGACCTGGATTTGAGAGCAGTCAAAATAGAAATTTTCATTGAAATGTGGTACCCGAAATTTTTCGTGAATACAATACTTCCTTTACTTTGTACAAGGAAGTAAAAATGCTAATCTGACAGCTCGTAAAATTTGTGCAATGCATGAATAAAGAGCTATTTTTGATGAAACATTTTGAAGGTGGTTTGAGAAGTTAAAGGATGGGAATTTCGATCTCAGGGATGATGCCCACTCTGGACGACCATCTTGCATAGACAAGGATTTATTAAAATTAGCTATTGCTAAATCCATGTTATGCATTACGCTCAAGAAATCCACGTTATACAGTTAAGTAACTATCAAACAGACTAAATATTCCAAAAAGTTCAGTACATGATCATTTTAAGAACACTGGGCATGTAAGCTGCTAAAATATACAGTTACCCCATACTTTAACAGAGCTGAAATACTTGCTCAAGTTTTAGCATATGATTCTTTGCTAGAAAAAAAATGCAGAAGCTCCTTTTTTTAAACAGCTCATTACCAGGGATGAGAAGTGGCTATTATATAATAATAGTACAAAACAAATCACAGGTTATCATTAGAACCTCCTTTAGTAAGAATGAGAGGGGAGTTTACATCTCCCCAAAAATAATGTTTTGTATATGCTGGGAGTAGTATAAAACAAATCACAGGTTATCATTAGGAACCTCCTTTAGTAAGAATGAGAGGGGAGTTTACATCTCCCCAAAAATAATGTTTTGTATATGCTGGGAATGCAAATTAATGGTATACTATGAATTGTTGACAAAATCAAACATTAAATATGGAAATATATTCTTCCCAAATGCCAGGTTTAAAAGCAGAAATTGAAGCAAAGTACCCAGAACTGACTAATCACTGTGGTGATGTCTTCTCTTATGATAATGTTCAGTGCCACATTTTGATGAATGTCTGAGAAAGACTTATACAGAGTATGGCTGGAATGTTTTGTGTCATCTCCTACAATAACCAGACCTTGAATCAAACCCCTTGGATTTTCATCTCTTCAGGTCACTTCAAAATTCTCTGAGTGGCCTGAAGTTCACTTCTTTGGAGATTGTCAAACAGTATCTCAATAACTTTGAATAAATGACCTTTTAAAAAAGTCATAAAGAAATTTTCCAACTGCAGAGAGATGGCAAAAAGTTATAAAACAAATGCTTATGTGATTAAATGATTCAATGAAATGGTACTTTTCCATTTTGCTGCCACAGGCGATAAAGTCGTCAAAAATGGTACAACCGATGAAAACGGAATATCCTCGTTGGTAACCTTTTACGCCTCATTTTCAAAACAAGCCGCAGCCATTTCTTATCAGACTGATTGTTTCTTTCAATAATGGCATACAATTACAAAGAATTTTTACCAGATAGTTCAATTTTATGCCCTAAAGCCATTCTTGGTGATTAAGTCAATTAGGATGCAATGACACTGCTCACACGAAGGCAAAAATATAGAAATGGGAAAGTCAAGAGTTAAATTCATCAATTTTAACGAGAATGCACTAGTGAAGTAAAGCACTGCAGTTTTACATAATTTATGAGCAAGCTATTCATATGAATTGAAATAATTCTTGCATTTAAACTTGTACTCTAAATTAAGTTTTAACTTGAAATTAATGTAGATAATTACTGAGTGAAGTAGATTTTTGTAACTTAGTTTACATGAGATGATATCACTTGAGGTCACGTGATACAAACCAGCGAATCAGGATGTTGTACCATGAAAGCATAGTAAATTCTTAAATTAATGTCTGTTTACAGATTTATTGTCTTTATTTATTGTCTTTTTACAAAATTTTAAACGATATTAAAGTGTTTATGTCTTCAAAATAAAAAATTCTTAGAACTGAACTGATAGTATGATTTTGTTGTCAACATTTTTTATGTGTATACTGTGCATTGTCGCCAATAAAGTCTGCTTGGCAAGATTTGCACCAGCGAAACTGAAAAGTACCAATGAAATTTGTATACATTTTTGCATTTCTTCATATGTATTTTATTATCAGAAAACCACAAAACTTTCCAGATGGTCCACTACATTTTTGTAACACGCAGAACTTCTATACACATAAAAAAAAAAAATTAAAAAAAACTATTTTGAAATGCTGTTATTTTCTCTCAATCCAACAGCAATGAATTTTCCAGTTATTGAAATAGGTACTGTTCTGTTATCAGGACTGGATCTAGAAATGTATGTATGTATGTATGGATGTGTTTACGTATGAATGTATATATGTAAGCACGAATGTGTGTGTGTGTATATATACATAGACACATATATGCACACACATACATACATACAGTCAAAAGTCGTTAATCCGGACTCGTCGGGACTTCGGCAATTCCGGATTATAGATCATCAGTTTAAATCTCGTAAGATGGCATGCAGAAATTCTAAAATTAAAAATATGAAACCGTAATTTATGAAATAAAGAACAATTATGATCTAAAGGGTATCAAAATTTACAAAAAAAAAAAAAAAAAGCTTAATATTTATTTGTTTACTTTATTAAACATTTCTTTCAATGTAAGTTGTTTAAGTTGCTTCGTTTTATGTGATAATACTTTCTCTTTAATTCGATAAACAGACATAATTTCTTGTTCAGTTACAAAGTTCTGCTGTTCAAGTCCCGTAATTGCTGTGCCGAGAATACCGACTAATTTGTCAATCAAAATTTTTTCGTTTTCACTAACCTCTCTGTCACATTCTTCATGTATTTATCCATTTTTTGCAGCAATTCCACTTTTTGTTTGATGGACATCGAAACATACTTTCATTTTGTACGATCCTTTGGGAGCTCCAGAATCAGAAATTCTACTTGACATAATCGAAAGTTCAAGTTTACTTTTATAGTATTGCTCTTACAGTCTGCAAAAAATAATAAGCCGGATCCAATTCGAAAATTAAGGAACAACGCAATCATCAACATTAACTGAAATAGATAATTAGATAATTTTAGCTTATACCGCCCGTTATACATAACACGCGCAAGCGAAAACGTATTCTGCGCTTATGCACAAGCATATGCGCAGACGTAAGAGGTCTTACGCGCACGCGTAAATATATGATGAGTAGTAAACGGGTCTTTCAAAGAATATATATAGTTAAATATAGTATATATTATGTATATACACACATAGTATATAGTGTATAGTATATAAAACGTTGTTTGGATAATTTTTGGTGTTGGCGATAATTTTCAAAATTGCGCCAAGGCTGCACCGTATACTAGGATTTTACCAAACATTGCAGCCATAGAGCTATTTCACAGACCGACATTTATCATACTGATCCCCTTTGATTTGATATTAATATACTTTAAAAAAATTACAGAAATCATCATTAATCTTATTTTTATATGAATAAAGACCATGAAAAATATCATTACATAATTAAATTTTACATAAATCATAGTTAAGAATAATTATTTCAAAATTTCCACATTACTTTTCATAGACACTTAAATTGTGAAAACTAATATTTTTCAGAACTGCTTCTGACTCATAAAATTAACTAATCCTTGAGAAATAAAATACAGAATATTCTAAAACAAATATTTTGCACCATCTGAAACAGAAAATCAAAATATATTTTCCAATTTTATTACTTAACAACCATGAGAAATTAGAATAACATTTAATAATGAGAAATATAATGAAATTTAAAATTAAAAAAATTATGAAAGTATGGCAAAATTTTAAAAAGTACAAATTATGAAGTTATAAGTTAATACCTCAAACTCAAAGCACATTTGTTTTTTAATGCATCTACTAAAATAGGGCATCACAGGTAAGTTATTACATACATAAATATCAAATACAAAAATAACTAAAATGTGTGTGTGTGTGTGTGATTATGGCAAAGCTTCGAGGGCTATCTGCCTAAGAGGAGGAATGCCGTCGTGGAGGTCTTTCTAAGGGAAACTGGCTCGTATACACGTTATACATGGGGAAAACCCCGAAAACGTCCATGCAGCCAGCCTGTTCGTGGGATTCGAACCTCAGATTGAACTACCAGTGTTCAGCGACTTTACCGTTCGGCCGCTGGTGGGCTAACTAACTAAAAAGTGCAAAAGTACGACACAAGAAGAAAATAGCTACTTGAGCAAATATGAACAAAAGATGACTGATTGATTTTAAAAAGCGTAAACATGAAAAATTGTTGCAAACAACTTTTATACCTGTAATGTGAAACCAAATGATCCATTTCTGCGTTCAACTATGATTGTGCGCCGCCTTCTGTCCTCCTCAGGTTGCGTAACAATAACTCTGTCATTTTTTACAGTTTCAAGAATCTGATGCTAAAAAAGTTCAATAAAATTATACAGACTGGCTTTTAATTAAAAAACAAGTATCTGCTTTTAAAATAAATATTTATTTAATATTTTGAAATAACAATGTGAAAAATAAACAATTATTTCAGCTTAATACTCTTCAAAATCTAACAATATAGAAATAACATATGAGCTTTTGAAAAGCAGATAAGTCAAAGATTCAGTCATTTTAAAGTATGAAAATTGTTTCTTTAATTACTTTAAAGAATAATTTAACAACAAATCACAGGAAACACATTCTGAAAAATTAAGTGCAAAACATACTGTGTCACAGCACTAGATCCTCCACTTAAATTATCATAATTAAAATTAGTCAAAATGCTTTTCTACATGGCATTTCAAAATTATGAATAAAATATAATTGTAACATTTACTTTTCAAGGGAATATATACATACTCTCCCATACACTAAAAAAATTATAAAAACATGTATACAAAAGTTAACAAGTATCGATTACTGTTAATAATCAAGTTGTACTAGATTTTTTTTTTTTTTTTTTTTTTTTTTTAATATCAGCAAAGAAAACTCCTGAAATGAAAGATTTTGTATAATCTTTAAGTACATGAGTTTTAATTACAAGACTAATTTATGAATCTGGAAATTACAGCAAATAATTCATTTCAAATTTATATTTACTCTAATATTGCACCCCAATCGACTAGTTTCAAAAAGTCTTTTAATACAAACATAATAAATTTAGTTCAGATTAAAGAACTGAAATATGCAAGCATATTTCACTGAAAAACTGTTACACAGAAAATTCATTTGCAACACAACTTCACAAATACTCCACAAAAAACATGCGTTTTGATTTTGGAACCTCTTCGTAAATATACTCTGCAATCAGTTCCTTCAAATAAAAAGTATCCTTTACCACATATTTTTATTTAGGATTTAAAAAAAGATATGAGCAGTTATAAAATTAGCACGTTTGTTTTAATTTTCATAATCTACGAGGACAACGGAAATCCATAATAAATCATAATGTTTTACAAATAATACAACATAAAGAAACGCAAATATTCCTCTCATATTCAAATTATCAACTTCAACTAAAGAACTGAATTAAATTATATTATACACAGCATTATATGTGTATACTACACAGTGTAATGTTTTGAAAGAGAAATGACATTCTTAGAGATAATTACATTTTAATCAAAGAATAATTTTGTATAAAAACTAAGACTATATATATATATACTTAGGTACAGCAATACATTTAGACCAAAAAAAAAATAAAATATTCTTATTAATTTTTAAATATTTATCTACATACACTGGTCCTACTTGAATCTAATTCGTCTTCGTCCGAACTAGTAGCTTCGGAATCATACACATACTCAGATTCCGTGTAAAACGTAGCCATAATTTAATACAATAACGCCTTCTTCCGCACAAGTCTATTTAAAATCATAAATAACAGTTAACAGTTCTGGCGCTGAAAAAAAAAAAAAAAATCATCGATACAAAAACAATAGAAACCTTATCGCAAACAAGGTATTCTCATTTTATTTTTATTCTGCCGCTGACGTACAGTGCGATGACAAATCAGATATCTCGGCTAAATTTCGCGCCAAATGTAACCGAAAGAATTTTCAGTTTCAAGTTCTAACTCGAGCACTTGTAGTATTACGAAAATGTTAAACTTCTTTAACAGCAAGAAAACTAGAGCTATAAATAATCCTTTTTAATATCTCCGCGAGACACAAAACCTTATATGGATCCAATTAAAATGATGTGCTATTCCTATTGATAACTATTCCTAATTTAATAAAATATTCAAAAGTTTTTTAACAAAAACTTACAATAGCGTTTATAATGCTGTAAATACAATACTGGATTATTTAAAACTAAAACTACTGAGTTAAGATTTTGATATTTAAAATGATCGTGCTTCATGTGTTTATTCTGACACTCGCCGATTATTTAAATTACATTTCTCAAAATCGAGATTTAAATCACTATAAGCAACAAATATATACGTTCAGTTGTGTGTTTGTTTCTTACATAGAATATCGCAAAGCACGCGAGGAATATCTGTTTCAAGAGAGACGGCTTCGTGGAAAACCCTTTAAAGAAAATGAGTTGTAATCTCCTTACATGTGGGGGACATTTACTGTACAGCATATATTATATTTGATGACAGTCTGCTCAAATGGGAAACTTTTAAGATTATAATCTTAACTTTACGTAGAAACTTTTCGGAAACTCACTTAGCCTTTGAATCGCCAAGAAAATCAACTGACGTGAAAGAAAAACAGAATAAAGTTTAGCAGTTTCTGGAATAAATTGTATTGCATAGTTAAATTGTATCGTCATTTATACAATTTCTGTGATATTTGTGATATTTTTAAATGTTTTCTTGTTCATGCACACTTTGAAAAAGTAAAATTTTTAATTAGAATGTCATATTTTTTTTTCATGAATATACAAAGTCACTTGGATGATATAAATAAGTCCGAGTAAGGATATAAAATAAGTCCGAGTCCTATGTTAAAAGTTTTATAGCTCAGTACTGTCTTTAATGTATTAAGAGTTTTGATCTTTCTAACTAAAAATTGCTGAATTTGTTGCTGAAAAATTTTGTTATCAATTAAAGTTCATAAATTAATAACATGAACCTTTCCAGAAAATTTACGTTCCAATAATTTATAATAATGGTATTTTTGAAATATTTATCTAAACATTTGTTCTTTACACATGGTTTTACATAAAATATTTGTATATTTAATTTCAAAAGTCATCAATGAGCTTTTTGTTTTCGATAGTACAGATTTGACATCCCCTTTTCTTCTTCAGCGGGTAAATTTTAAACTCCTTTTTTGCCATCAAATCAATAAGTACTGTAATCACTCACTTGGTGATACACAATGCTTGGATGACTTACACCGCAAAATGCTGGCAAGCCTGCTAATCAATGGGCTAACAAAATTTTAATTTCCCTTGAGTATAACGTAAACACACAAACCAGTTTACGAGATCCTGCGCGAAGTCTTTTTGTACTTTTCGTTAAAGCGGCCATCGCGCTTAGTCACCAAATCTGGCAAACTTCATCGCCAAATCGTAACATACATATTTCAAATGTCGCCAAAGGCCGTGATCTCTTCAACAAGAAAATACTAGTCCTTCTTTTACACATGTAATTACCAAATCAACCTGACAGTAATAATCCATATCTTTATAAAGTGATACATGAAAAGAGTAAAGACAGGCTATGGTAATATAAATGGATAAAGAACTACCTCAGCTTTAACTCACAAGGTACGAACACTGTTCAGTATTTTGATCCGGGTCCGAATCCAGCCGAATGGACTGACTGCATGAGCGTTTTCGTGGTTTCCCTCCCTGGCACGCAAGGTGAATGCGAATCAATCTCTCTCCAAAAGTTCTCCAAGAAAGCCTCTCAAGAACAGACGCAGTGGCCTTTCGCGAAATATCGTTTTATATATTAACTGTAACCGTGTAGTGGAACTTTTCGCTCTGTATGTCTATTTCTTTTTTATAGAATCGTTTGGAAGTGATAGTTCGCACTGCAACTAATGCTCGTTTTATTCTGTTTCGAGTCTACTTTTATGTATAAACGAACTAGTAAGTAAATTGAAAAGTACTCACTTTGAAAAATTATACGCTGAATGCAATGTACCTTCTACTGAATGGGTATTTATTCCTCCCTCTGCGTCATGGTTTGGTGGCTTTTGGAAGAGAACGATTGAAATCTTGAAACGAATTTTAAGAAGAGTTTTGCGAAGGGTCGCCCCTCAATTATGAATAGATGTTGACACTACTTTGTAACTGTGAAAACATAATAAACTCCCGTCCTATGCTTATGGTGCAGATGATATTGAAGATCTTAATTCTATAACTCCTGCCATGTTTTTGAAGGAAATTAGATTATTCTGCATTATATTGTGCTTTTTTAATAGAATTATTTGCAAATAGAATTATTCGCTCTGAAACCAATGGTTCGGCGCTGGTTCACTATAAACGGCGTTTCACATTTAAAGTTGTTGCCACCAAATATTAGAGCCCTAATTATAATTAAAGAAATTAAATAATGAAGAATCTGCATGAATGTATGTTTCTCGCACTGTGAAAAAACAATGGTACTTAGATATCAAACTTCGAATAATGTAGTCTCCACTCGAATATGGACATCTGGAAGCCGAAATTTGGAATTTGTTTTATTATCTATTTCCTATTCTGTAAAAATTTAACGAATTTTGGATTAACAAACTCAACGATTTCAAAGAAGCAATGACAACACTGTACGGAGAGGGGGAGGGAAAATGATTTCCAGCGTGCAAGACTGTGTATCGGAAAAAGATATGTTCTTTTCAAATTATTTTGTGAAATTGTTGTTGAATTGAATTTTATGGTTAAGTGCGAAGAACATGATATTTAATACATAAAGGTAACACACAAAGCATTAAAAAAAAAGCCTCCTTGGGTGTAATATAAAATCTGAAAGCTTTCAGGTTTTTGTTTATTTTTTATTTATTTATTATTATTATTTTAAGCTTTGGTAAGAAGATTTTCTGATAATAGATTAGAAATACTGTATGTAGTAAGATTTATAACAGCTGTAAAATTAAACAATTTGTCTTGGATAATACTGAAATTAAACAAAGTAGATAGTTATTTTTTTCATTTTGAACGCAATCAGGTTTCTTTTGAGGCTGTAACATTACTAACTGAATCCTGTTCACTAGAAACATTCGATAAGAAATGAAATGAACGCTCGCATGGTTTCCACTTTCCATAGACCACCATTAACATAGACAGTATTCTGATTAACGTGGACACAACATAGATAAATGTAAGTATTGTACATCATAAATAATCATACTTTCTAAAACAAACACGGAAAACCAAAATCGTTTGGAACCGTGGATTTTTTCCCAATGCAGTATGTGGATAATTAACGGAATATATAAAAAAATAAATTTGATTGTTGTTGTTGATAAAAATTTCTTGGATTGCCTTTAAAAAAAGCTCACTTTATAGTAATGGCTTCAATATCCAGTTCATTTTTTTTTCGCATTAGTCAAGTATATTAGCTATACCGCACAAAACAGCATTCAGTCATTTAGGGACTCAGAAGCTAAGAAGTCTATATTTCTTCTTATTTAAATCATTAAATAAAAAATTCGGTGCCACTCACTGTTGATGAATCATTGCTAAAATTAAATTGCTTATTTATGAGTGTTACAGTTCAAAAAATATAAATGTTGATTCATTATACATTTATTGCACTGTTAAATCTCTGGATGATAGTTATAGAGAAGAAAAAACATCAATGAATCCCGTACATAAAATGACACTTTATCGCCCTCTAATAACAGCTGCAAGTAATCAGTCAATTTCAATATTAAAAAAAGAACGAATAAAAACTGAAATGCATCGCACGAAGCTGTTACGCTAGCAAAGGCCCTATGCTTCTAAATTTCCCATGAAGTGGCCAATGAAACAATGATGAGCCAACACGCCATGAGGAGCACCACTTTTGCATTATGTATCGCCAATTCAGCATGTGCAAATGACTCACGCATTGGGGAGGAGTGATTTCGCACTCGTTCTTTGGAATCGAGCCAAATTTTTACTAATAGTCCCCAATACAAAATGGCTCATTTAACAAATTTTGAATTCCAAGAATTCATATGATAAAAATATTTCTTTCTGTTCGTAGACATTACAAAAGACAGACGACTGTACCTAATGCACTTTTTATCCAATTCGAAATCATTTATTTCACGATCAATTTAAATGACTTTTCCCAAACTGGTTTTAGAGAGACTACAGAAGATGTAACCACATTCGTCGCAGCAAATACCATTAAATTGCAATTTAGCTTTTAAAACCGTTGTGTCATCTCAGACCACAGCGATATCCTATTTGCTACAAACTCGAAAGAGAGAATTAATACATAACTCGAAGAAAAGCGAAAGACAGCTTAATCGTGTTTGTCTAATTTCATTTCTTCAGTAATCTTTAATGATTTTTAGCTTTGAAAACGGGCTTTCTACTGTAGCAACAGTTAACAGAAATCGTTAAAATAAAATAAGTAAACTGTATACATTTTTCACAGAAATCGCTTTCAAGTGAATGGGCTATTTTTAACATTAAGTTCCTAAATCCTTGAAAGGCCATATTTTCATTAAGCTCACCTTTATACAACTGCAGTGCATTTACAAATTTTAAAGTAAATTTAATATAGTAGATTCTGGCGACAGTGTTTCGGAATAAATATCTATTAAATTGTTTGGTTTGGTTTATTTAATTATGGCAAAGCACACTAGTGCTATCTGCTTAAGGGAAGGGATGCCTTCGTGGAGGTCTTTCTAAGGGAAACTGGCTCGTATACACGTTACACATGGGAAAAACCACGAAAACGCCCATGCAGCCACCCCTTTCGCGGGATTCGAACCTCGGACCGAACTACCAGTGTTCAGCGTGTGTGTGATTATGGCAAAGCCTCGAGGGCTATCTGCCTAAGGGGAGGG